CAGGAATGTTTATCATTCAATAATTGCATATATCTCAAATAATGTCTGCATATTAAACGCGCTTATTGAATAGTCTTCAAATAAATTTTTTATTATTATATATTTCTATTTAATTTGATTTCAAAATATATTGGCATTGTACTTAGTTAAGATGAAATTTATTATTATTTTTTAAGAATCATTAAAAAGATTTCAGTTCGCGTATTTAAATTATTCATTTTACATAAATTGTACATAAATTATTCACGAAGTCTTCTACATAAAATATACATATTCACAAAATAAATATTATACCAAAATTATTTATATTAAAAAATTACTAATTTAAATATTTATAATTTTATAATTTATGAATTAAAAATTGTAGTTAATATTGAATTGATATCAAAAGATATACACGTTTTATATTAAATTATTTTTATATACAATTTTTGTTGTAAGATTAACAATTATTTATTAATAAAAATAATCATATAATCCTTTATTAAACATAAAATTAATTAGAATATAATAAATGATATATAAAAATATTTATACACCGTTCATCAATAATTATTAGACAATATAAAAAAGTAGAATATTAATGACTAGCATTATATTTTGGAATTCTTTTTACGGTTATCTACTATGATTAGATTTTAATCAATCAACGAAGAGGTATTATTTAAAGGCATTTATTATCGTATGAACAACTAATAAGGAATACTTTTAAAAAATGTTGAAGAACAAAATTTCTTTTTGAAATAAAAAAATTATTTTTATAAAAGAGACCGCATAAAAAACTTAAAGGAATTTTCATTTTTTATTGTATATTTGTAAACGTTAATATTTTCAAATCACGCATAAATTTCAATACGTTTATGTGCAAATTTATTTCAACATTTTAAATATATTTAACTTTCATGAAATTTGTAAATACACTTAAATATTTAACATATAACATAGTAACTAAAAAAACTTTTTTCTTATTTTTTAAATTTCTTTTAACTGTTGGTTTATGTAAATTTGTTTGTTTTCAAGCATTTTATTTGAAAATCTTACGATCTTCGTTATAAAATTATAATCATGTCCATTTAATAAGCTTAGATTATATTTATTGATTCATATTTTCAAATAATAGAAAAATAATTTCTTAATATATAATATGTATTTATATTTTAAATTAAAAATCATTCGTTAAATATTCGGAGCAGTGATTATCAAAGAATCCATTTTTCTATGTACATATTCAGAAAATTAAGATAATCAATTTAGTTTTAATATCAGTATTCTAAGGCTGCATTTCCGTATTTTATTCTTAATATTATAGAAAACCATTTTATTAAGAAAAATAAATAACTCTTATATAAATTTAGAGAAAATGGTTACTAAGTAAAAATAAATATTTCAAATAATCTAAAAAAATCTATAAAAATGAAATATAAATATTATAAAACTATAAAAATAAACAAAATTGTTATTTTTATAGATTGAAAAACACGTTTTATTTTATTTATATAAATATTTTTTTAAATAACCATTTAATTAGTCAATTTATAAAGTAAAAGACTAAATTTTTTTATTATATTATTTACTTATCGATTTTTATGAAAATGACCTATTAAACTTTTTCGTTATTTTGATTTTATATCGACTATTTTGGAGCACTTTAATAAAATTTTAACAACATTATAGATTAATAAATAATAATGTTTACTGTATTCTATTTTTTTTTATTATGATAAGAAATATCATACTTAAAAACATAATTTTATAAATCTTATAAATTTTAAGTTATAAAAATAAAGATTAATTTTAATTGTAACATAATTATTGTTTGTATTAATTCTATTAATAACTAATATTATATAATATAGATTTACATGCGCTCAGACTTGTCTTTATTATATATAAAGAGGATGTTATTTTTAAAAATAATATGAACATTTGAGTTTTTGAATTTTAATTCTATTGAAAAGTGTAAATTGTTTTATTTAAACTACGAAAACATGCACATAATTTTTAAATATATGGACAATCTTATTCATATTTAAAATATTACCATTTCGTCATTATATGTAGACAGGATACATTACCATTTAAATACTTTTTCTACAATTATATAAATTATATAATTCATATAAATATACAATTATATCACACAAACTATATTAATAATAACATGAGTCACTTACATTTATACTAACTTTTTATATGCAAACGCAAATGATATTAGTTAATTAATAATCAACAATTAGTTATGAGCTAATCATAGTAATAATGAATGTTAATTGATAACATTTTCTGCACTTGAAAATATATTTATTTTATGTGTGCTTATTTAATAATATGTAGATTTTAAACTCTCCAATATACCAAAGTTTTTAAAATTTATGGCTTATTGTATTAAATCGATCACTAGTCTGTCATGCTTTTGAAAGTTAACTTTTTTTTTGATTAGCAAAAGATTGATGACCTCAATAATTGGTAGTAAGAATCGGTGATTTAATCAATTACAGTTAATTTTAGAAATAGTTCATACAAAATTTGAATTTATAATGTACTACATATACCATTATCAACTTCTAAATTAATGATTAAATTATGAAGTCTTATAAATTATAATAAGAAAAGCTAATAAATTATAATTATTACAAAATTTATTAATAATTAAAACATTCTGAACAGTAGGAGTAGATAAAATAATAAAAGCTTTTATATTTTCAGCATTAAATTTAATAATGTTATTATTTGTGTTGAAGTATTATAAAAAAAAAAAAAAAAAAAACATAAGATTTTTTCTTTTTCTTTTTATTATTTTTGATATCTGATTATCAATTTTTTTAGAAAATCGATTAAAAAATTATCTATTATTATAGAATTATCTTCTAATTAAGCTACATGTATTGATGAATTTATTAAATATTGAATTAATTTTAATTTTTACTTAAATAATTCATTATTATATATTAAAATTTTTTAATTTCGTTGACAATATTTTTTCAAAATTTTAGATACTGTTGTATTATATTCATCTTTGGAGAAACATTCTCATTTACATTTCAGTTATAATTATAATTGTAATAGTTCTATATACTTACAATTTTGTCTGCTGTACCTTTATTTATATTCCATAACATTTCTTTTGAATTTTGTATTTTATATTAACAATATAAAATATTTATTTTATTATATATTGTATTATATATGAGAAATTATATTTTGTTTGAAATATTAAATCTTCAAAATTACATTCTTTCAAATATTATAGTATTATGTTATTTGCTATAAAAATTTTGTTAGAGATATTTATTTAATTTTCGTATCATACAAAATAAAGAATTTTCAATACTACTATAATTATCAATACACTTAAGGAATCATGAATTATGGAATTTTTATGGTATTGTTTAAATAAAAATCTTATTTATTTTATAATAATTAATATTTCTATTTTTTTTCATTTATAACAGGGAAGATGAATAAATCAAATTTATATTATATATTAAAATAAAGCATTATTTAGCAGCACTGTTTCTTGTAATTAACTATAATGTAAATAGAAAGTTGAATTTCACATGAACATTTATAAACTAAAAATGTTAAATAAACGAATAAATTATTACTTATTGATTTTCTTTTATTTTTGTTTGTATATGATTTTTTTATCTATATGGTATAAAAAGCCTTCGTATTTTATGAACGATTTACTATTCAAATTATATTAGTGTCATTATTTCATTTTTTTCCATAAAATATATTTAAAACGAATAGAGTTTAATTATAATTTTTCATGCTGGAGGTACCATTAACATACACAAAACTTAATCTTGAATAACAACTTATTAATAAGTTTCTTTTAATTCTTAATTTTTATGTTTTAAAATTATTTTTATTATTGTTTTATTATTATTTATTATACCAATGTTTGTAGTAATTATTTATTTGAAAAACTAGAAAAAAGATTTTCAGTTATAACGTATTTATTTTTAATGTAATTTTTACATCACAGCTTTATATTACTTATTATTATTTAATATACATTTTATATAGTTATATTGATACGCGTTACATTAAATCTATAACTTCTTAATATGTTGATTGCGTTATTTATAAAAATCCGTTTTGTAATATAGTTGTTCTGAAAAGTGTTTAAATCATTTACTTTTTTAATTATGCATTGAATAGAATACTTTGAAACATTTAAGAATTGATTTTTTGTTTTTGCACTATTTAAATAAATTAAGGTGTCTGTTTACATTTTCATATTTATAAGTGTTCAATATTTTTAATTTAATGTTAGCTGACAATATATACAATTGTTTGTATCTACATTTCTTTACAGCCTCTATAATATTATTTCTAAAATAATAGTTCAAAATTTATTTGTAAATTTTTAATATGTATAATAATTATTTTTAAAATATTATTAAAAATATTTTTAAATTATTACAATTTTATATCCTAATTGGTAAAATTATAAAATGCTCATTTATATGAGGTTTATATATATTATAACTTAATACCATAAGCTTAGTTACAATTTAGCAGAAAACATTAGTTTTTAAGCAATGTAATGCATAATGAATGCTTCACGATAAATTCACTGATGCGAAAAAACTCCTTGAAAAAAAATTCATAAATTTGCTATATCAACTAGACGAGCTTCGAATTGCATCCAAGTTTATAACAATAATACTTACAGACAATATTTTAACTTTCTTAATATATTTGTTCATACTTTTAAAAATTCAAAATTAATTGAAATAATTTATTTA